GCCGGCCGCGCCGGCCTGGCCCCCTGTCCTGAGGGGCGATTCCCCCGCGGGAGACGCGTTGCCGCAGTGCTCCCACGAGGCTCCTGCTCCGGCCGGGGCGGTGGTGGGGGCTGTCAGCGCGGGGAGCAAACCCGCTGCCGCCGGGAGCCTCGATGCCCGGTGCTGTCACACGGCTTGCTGTCGGTGGCCCCGGGGTGGGCAGGCGGGCTCTGCTGCCGCCAGCGCGGGTGACAGCCGGGGGCTGGGAGGGGACTGGCCGCGGCGCGTTCGCGTCTCCGGCGATGTGAGGCGTCCGGTGCGCTCCGGCGATGCGCGGGGTCCGAGCAGGCAGCAGGGAAGAGCGCACTTGCCGGGACTGTGCGCGGCCCCAGTGAAACGGCGCTTCCCTTCAAAGTTTGTTCTGTAGTAGTGCCGCTGCTGCCGGAACCTGCCACGGGAGCAACAGAGTCCTGCAGCGTTTGGTAGGAGAAGAATTAAACTGGGACAAGCCTCTGTTTTGTGTACTTGTTATCTGTCATGTACGCTTCTGTCTCCAAGGTTGAGGAGGGAACCGTGTGGCCTAGCTAACTTCTTTCCTGCTTTATCCTTTGAAACAACCCTCTGACATGCTTTCCCAGATTACAACACAGTTTTAGTTTCATTTGTCAGTAATGCTGCAGGACAGTTATATGGTACCTTCTCTACCCATCATTTTGTTGTGTTTGTCAACTATCTGTTGAATGTTTTTACAGAAATCCAGGGAACTTTCAAAAATAGTTTTTATGGCATCTGTATGCATGCTTTGCTTAGCTACTCTGAAGGGTATGTAGAAATTCAGACTTCTAAAAAACACTTTTCAGCTTCTTTTAAAAATATTTTAAAGATGTGTAGAAACAGTATTCTTACATGGGGGTTACTTGTGATAATAGATATGTGGGACCTTAATGGAGTACATCAGAATATTACATCCTCAGATACTGTTAGCAGAAATTGTTATGTTTTAGTATTAGGAAGAGAAATTTCTTACAGTGACTGCCTGTAGGTGGGGTCTTCAGGTGCCTAACCTTTTAAACAGGTTTGAAAAATATGGCTAGGATTTACCAATATTGTATAAGTGGTGTGGAGATGCTGTACTTGAATCCCATCAGATTTTTATAGTCCTCAAGATCCTTTGCTTTGTATAAGGACCATTTTCTAGAGGACATACACTGGTACTTGGTGCATTATTCAAGGACCCATGAAGTATTTTGATTCCAGATGATAAAGTACTACATGCTAGATGACTAAAAATCATTTCATTTTTATGCTTCTTTGAATACAGTTTTTTTAGAAGAACAGTTTTAGAACAGGTATAACTTTGCTGCTGACAAAACTATAGATTGATATTTTCCATGCTGGACTTGATACTTTTGATTTTAGTAGATGTATGTTTAATCAAGCTCATTATTTTATGGTATGATATGTTGAAACTGTCATGCAATAAGGATATAGCTGAAGGTTTTTGAACAGGGGTTAAATTAAGGCTGAGTAAAGTAGAATCAGCTCCTGAGAGTCTTGGTGTGGGTCACTGCTACAAGTCTGCCTATTAACTTAGGGCTTTAAGACTCTTTTTTTCTTCTTTTTACTGTCACTATGCTACTTTGTATATTACCATCAATTTACAGTTTCCACTTATTCCCTCTTACATTTAGGCTACTAGATAAAGTGTTACTTGCATTACTCAGGCTAGTGAATGGCTCACATTATAGTAGCATTTAAACATTTTAGTTAAAAGTTCCAGAAACGCATATGCTTTGCGTACGCAGAAAACGTTTAGTTTTTGATAACCCACTCCAAATTTATGTTTCCTCTTCTCTCCAACCTTTGTGATAGCTTTTCTCAACTGTTATCCTTAAATTCTTTTTATCTCTCCACTCTCTCCTTTTAACCTTTCCCCTCTTCTGTTTTTTCTCTCATTTTTCTTCTCTTTCAGCTTTGGCTATTAATGCAATTGCTGATTTGACATTTTCAAAGACTTGCCTTCTCTTAGTACTCTAACTTGACCATTGGACACAATGAGGAGACTGGCTTTTCGAGGTGCTGGTTGTACTCTGGTAAATCTGGTAAATTATTGATCATATACACACCCTTCTTCCTTTCCCCTGCCTGACATTTTATTTTTCTTTATCTTAGCCTTAGTGAATCCAACCTCATGCTCATTCATCTTGTTTGTTTGCTTGTAATTAATTGCTCACTGGAATATAAACATTAATGTAACTATGCCACTACTTCACCTTATATAAACTGTAGATTATGTACCAGCAAAATACATTGTTAGAGCCAAAAGAGCCTGGGTGACACTGTAAATATTTTTTTTGGTAATAGTGACACCTTGCCACTAACATTTTGGCAGGATCCAGCAATATGTTTCATAGTAAACTCAGTAGTTGCTGGATGCCTAATAATTTCAGTCATTATCGATGTTAATAAATTCAGACCAGGGACAAAAAGAGAAGACTCCTTGAGCTATCCAATTTGCACTCAGTCCGAACTGTCAAGTGAGAATGATGTGGCTTGAGAATGCAACCAAATTTACCTGTACTGTGGCCCAAATCCTTTGTTTGTCTGTTTTTGTGATTCTGGGACTAGATACTACACAGCTCGTCAGAGTTGTAAGACTATCTCTGAACTTCTCATGTATCATGACAATACATTTTATCATTGTTTTGGAATGAGGAGTCATAAGCTTTTATAGTTTAAAAAACCATCCTAGTAACTGCTAGATAATTGCGGCACTTTGTGCAAGTCCAAGGCACTCCAGCCCTGCAGGGATGGGTAGCAGTACATAACTCAAGATGTATTTGATTCATAGAATCATAGAAAATTAGGGTTAGAAGGGACTTCATGTAGTCCAGCCCCCTGTTCAAACCAGGACCATCCCCAACTAGATCATCCTAGCCAAAGCTTTGTCTAATTGGGTTTTAAAAACTTACAAGGTTAGAGATTCCACCCTCTCTCTGATAACCTGTTCCAGTGTTTTATTACCCTTCTAGTGAGAGAAATTTTCCTAATATCTAACCTAAACTTCCCTTGCTGCAACTTGAGACCATTGCTCCTTGTTCTATCATCAGCCACCCGTGAAAACGGTCTAGCTCCACCCTCTTTCAAACACCTCTTCAGGTAGTTGAAGGCTGCTATTGAATCCCCTCTCAGTTTTCTCTTCACTAGACTAAATAAGCCTTGTTCCCTCAGTCTTTCCTCATGTCATGATCCCCCAGCCTCCCTCACCATTTTTGTTACCCTCTGCTGAACTTGCTCCAATTTGTCCACATCCTTTCTGTAGTGGAGTGCCCAAAACTCTACTTAGTACTCCAGATGTGGCCTCACCAGTGCTAAATAGAGGGAAATAATAACTTCCCTTGACCTGCATGCAACAGTCCTACTTTATAGACTTAAACCACTAATGCAACTCTGAAAGTTTATTTAATAACAATCTCATTAGGTATCAATACATAAGTAAATTGTTCCAAATGTTCCTGAATACATATACCCTTAACTGATAGTCAACAGCTAGCTGTCACCAGAAAACTTGCATACAATGCCTTAAGTTTAAGAACATTTTTCTTCATTATAGAAGAAGTTGGATTCCATGGGTTCCAAGAGGCGAAGGGCTACTTCTCCATCCAGCAGTGTCAGTGGAGGAGATTTTGATGATGGTCACCACTCAACAAATACACCAGGCCCAAGCAGGAAAAGGCGGAGACTCTCTAATCTCCCAACTGTAGATCCTGTAAGTACCTTTTTACATGCACACATTTTATCTTGCTGCATAAATCCAAATGTGGAATATCTTTTGAAAAGTTAAAAGAATTAAGAGAACATTTTTTGCTGTAAAAAGATATATGTGGTAAGAACGTTTAAAATAAGGGTGACAGTAACATAGTGTTCCATAGCTGGGGTGCTGTGTCTTTTTTCCACACTACTGTCTGTCCTCCCAGAGTGATATTTTACATTTTTGAAGGACTTTGCAGTGTTCCCTAGTCTCCCTTGCTGAGAGGTGTCGTTTGTGTCCTGAACTCTGATTTTGACCGAGTCCTATTCATAACTCTATCTGAAGTCCAACAGCACTGTATGTACATTGGCTCAGATGACTGCTGTGAAGAAGAGGTGTTAGACTCGTTTTGTGAAGAAGTCTGAATTCCATTTTTAATTATGGTCTATGAGCTTGAGTGTAAATTTATGCTTAAGCACCCCGATAGCATACTGTAGATCTCTTGCAGATGTCAGCGCAGTATATGCGCAAAGACGAAGAGGTAGAATAGAATAATGCTTTTCCATATACTACATCAAATGTTTGTTATGTATTCAGTATCTTATTTGGCTCTGGTTTCTGAATTCGTGATTGCTTGTCTCATTTTGTTGCTCATTCTTTTCTCATTCTGCTGCTTTTCTGTCTGTGCAATTTTTGTGTCTCCTCTTGTCTTCTCTCTACATTTTCTTCTCTGCAGCAGTTTCCTGTTTCCATATTTTATGATTTTAACTTCATCCCCATTCTGTTTCCCTTTTGCTAAAATGATGGGTGTATAAAAAGTCAACACTGATATTTCAAGTGACATAATGTTTTAGAGTTAACAGCTTATTTGTAGAGTGCTAAAATTCCTTTGTCATAAATTCAGGGGTCTGCAGGTTCAGGAAGATTAAAGAATGAATTCATAACGTACAAGTTTTTTATGTAACCATGGTGTTTAGAAAACACTTGCTAACATTCTGCAGAATTTGGATATGCCAGGCAGCTGATTTTATTTGTTAATGCAATGTGTGTCT